GAAAATACCAAAACGGAATAGCTCTATCCGCAAGTATACTTATATAGGTACATATATACCTATACGGATATACTTATGCAAATGTGTGTGAGGGATTGGAAACTACATTATAGTATATGTTTTGTTTTGTTATTCTATACTTATATAATATTAACTTTTGGTTCATCTTATTTTTTAGTCTTAAGAATATCTACTACACAGTAAATCGAGCAATCAAGGTTAAAATTCCGAACTTGAGTGTACTTACTGATTAAAATTTTTTTTACAAAATATTTGATTGAGTGGATGATGTTTAGGTATAGCTATATTGCGCCGTGTAGTGTACACTGTATACTGCACGTAAGAGGTGGCCGGCACACGAAGCGTAAAGTAAATCCCAGTATATTATATAGACGTGTAAAATAAGGATGTATACCAATTTTAAGCAGACCTAAGTTAATCGTGACCATTTTTGGATTATCTAATCTTGCCAAAAATGATTAAATATTATGTTTGGTTGATTGTTTTCCAAAAATCTGACATACCCCTTTCGGACATCAACATGGATTAGTTGCCAAGTGCTGTAACTCTTATGTGATTGATCACACTCGCATCAAACGTACTTATGTTGTCATCTTCGTGCAATTTAAAATTGTTTCGTTATTTTTATTTTGTGTATCATTAATTCTATTTATATCATGTTTATACAATGTGACTGACTGATAGTTAACGATTTTAGTGTGCCTTAACAAAATATCTAAACTTTTGTATATAGTTGATTTCTTTATAATTATTTTTTCTAAACATTTACCTTCGTATATGATTGGAATTTTTTAAAAAATAAAAAAAATTTCCTTGTACAGTAATTTGTTAATGATTAATATTAAATTTTTAGATTTATGCTGGTGTAATTCTGTGTCGTTTACGGACCAGCTTAAATATATTATAACAAATAATTTACCACCGTCCACCGTTATTTATAGTTGTAATTATTACATTCTTCTCCGTGTGATTATTTTAGTGCACAATAGGTCATGAATTCATGACTATTTTGAATAACAATATTTAAGTGTCAGGAATCAGACTAAAAATATAACTATAATGCACGTAATGAAAATATACATATGCGAGTAGGCAGAAACTTTTTTAAGAGTCATGGAGGGCCTGTGAATGTGATTATTAGGAGGGTCAACTAAGTATTTTGTCACCCTCTCGACACCCTTTATATACGCGTCATTTACTCCCTTTTTTTTATTCATTCTTTTTCATTTTTCTACACATAATATTAACCGATAAACAACATGTGTACCTCGTTTCAGATTTCCTTCCAAAGCCTCATTTGTGGTATTATAAAGCGTTTAACGAAATTTATATATATATATATATATACTCTTTAATAAGCCTAATCGTGAAGTCAAGATGCATAACTCAGCTCCAGGTTACTTAAGTATATTACTATATATTACATATAGTATAAGATACTTCAACACAATCTTACATAATTATTATTCAGAAGTTAAATAGGATAAGCATAATTCTATAATTTAAAACAATTTATTGCATGGTTTATTTACATTTTATGTTATTTTCTAATAATATCGAACCTACTGACTTAAACCTCAAACTAAATTGAATATTCAGTTGGTTGGTTAAAGTTAGCATATCGAGACATTCGAACAAACATTTGATGTGAATATGTGAGTATACGGACTCAGTAGGTATATAGTTTCATCGCGCCATTGTTGTTTTAAGAGTTTAGTAAGACAAATGGCTAAAGATTCTTTAATAATATAGATTCATTATATTATATTACATATTATTAAAGTAATGAATATACTAAGACATTAAAATGTTTTCGAGTTGTGTTCACTTGAATTCTTTTGGTTTTGATCGCATATAGTGAACCGAACTTTTCTGATTAGGTTAGTGTAAAATATACGAGCATATTCCAATAGCCTAATAGACTGCTACCTACTATTGTTGTTAATAAACGCGGTACATTACCCTTTATTGTATTCCTATTATCTGCATCATCCGGAGTATTGTATTTACGAAATATCATTGTGAAATACTGTCATTGCCACCTCGTCCACATTTGAAAAATTTGTTTTGTTCACCCCACACTTTTGTACTCTACGATGTTTTGTTTGCAATCTAAATATTTAAATATTTATACTAATTAAAGCTATTAGATTAAGTATATAATATATATATATGTAGTTCTAGGAAAGTGAAATGTAACTTTTTGAATGTTGTACCGCGTGTGATCGTATCCAAGTTATGCCAATTAAATCACTTAAAAGTTTTTATTAAAATATTTATAAGCTTATACGACATTATAGTTTTTGAATTTACTACGTAAATGATCCGATACAAAAAAAAAATTATAATTATTTTTGAATTTTGAGTGGAGTGATAAATATGTATTGCAATATATATATTTATCACCATATAATTCGCTATTTATTACCATAGTTTTATAATGGTGGTTCTTGTTATAGGAATCTTATAGTAACAATTTGGTCAAAGAAAAGACACATAAAATAAGAATATTAATATTTACATAATACAATACCAGTATTATAGATTTTACTTTTGTTGCTCGCCTCTGATAATGCAGTAGTAGGTATACATTGTGTTTACAGGTAATTCGATTTCGTTTTTCGATGTCATATAATATTGCTCTGTATTTACAGGGTGATTCTTTTATCAAACAACACTCATTATTTAAAAAAGTATTGACTTTTTTCAATTTTTTTTTTTTTCAAAATTGTAGATTTACACTCTTCTTGAATTGTTTATTATTTTTATATTTTTCACCCTTATATTTATTAGATAAACCACTATCAACTTTTGATTTTCAAATGGTAACCTATATACTTAAAATTTCATAAATTAATAAAACTATTTTTTTTATTAATTATTACGTTAAAATTTCGAATTTAGCGCTAGTAGTTTATGAGTTATAGGCATTTAAAGTTTAGATTGGCAGAGTGGAGTGTGGTACGGGGTTACCCCGCAAAATGTTTGTCCACTACTCCGCYTGTCWAAACTTAAAATACTTATAACTCATAAACTACTCGTCCTAAATTCGATTTTTATGTATCAAMATTTTTAGAAAAATATTCTGCTTTGGAATATGAAATTAAAAAACTATGTTGCCATTCAAAAAAGTAAAAAACTTAAAAAAATGATACCTAAGGTTAGGTTAGGTTAGGTTATTTTGAAAAAAGTCAATACTTTTTTAAATAATGAGTGTTTGATAAAAGAATCACCCTGTATACTTAATATTGTACAAACCGATTGAAAAATATGTGTATTTAAGTATTTTTAAAATTTTTGTTTTTTATACAATAAAAAAGAGCACTATGTCAAAACAGCCACGCAAACTAAGAATATATATTAATAGCAAAAATTTAAAATCAATGATTTTTGAGAATTTTTACATTGATATCTAATATTAATAATTTATTATATTAATTTTGACATTTTCTTTGAAATCAATAAGTAAGGTACAGATGTCAATACTTTTATTATGTATCATAGGCACATTTATCGAAAAAACGTCTGGTAGAGGGAAAGGGTTAATAGAAAAAAAAAATATATATTCATTTAAGATAGTTTTCGACGATAAATGTTTTTAGAAATAAATCGAGAGGTTATTTTAATCAAAAAATGTCTGTATGTTTGTCTGATTTTTCGTACTTACCGCACTACTGTGACAGCAGTGTGTGTTAATGGTATCGAAAAATGTTCCGGTACGATATTTCACCGTTCGGTAATCCATATCGTTACCGGATCAGTGTGCAAGCTACAACTGTAAAAATTACCGCACAAATAAAATATTATTTACTGTATTGTTATCGTACCGTCTATATACCCGGTGATGTCCCCATAATTTTTTATGAGAATAGGTATACTACATTGAAGAACCTAAGAATATAGGCATTTAATTTAATTTTTTAATATAACAAAACAAAATTATAAATATCAATTATTTAAATAATTTATACACATATAATAGTAGAATATAAATATCGACGATGACGATTACGGAAGATACTACCKATAAAGATTGTTGCGAGAGATTCATTTCTCTGTAATATTTAATATTTTTAAATTTCTGTCGAGTGTTGGTCAACTACCTGTGACTTCTCGTAATTGGGCGTTGGTGGGCGGTTTAGTAGAAACTTGCTATACTTTTATTTATGCATTATGATCAACCTTATTTAATTTCAGATTGTATTTATAATAAAGGTAATAATTCAATTTAGAATATATAATCAAAAATAAACTATAAAATTTAAAAAAAAAATGATGTAATTCTTCTTTTTTATGGTTTGTTTGAGAGTGTAGTATATACGAAGTATAACCATAATATTTTAGGAAAAGCTTGAGATTATACGGCGTGACTATATGTAGTGTATCCTATAGGAACACAACTGTCTCTAACGCAGCTGCGTGTGCCGATCTTTAAACCGATTAAGTTTGATTTAAAAATTCTTGCAATGTATACTAATATGAACTAAATTTCCTAAAAATTATAAAATAAGCAAAATAAAAGTTTAAATTTTCAATTCTATGATGTATGAAACGAATTTGGTACTTGCAAAATAATACATTTTGCATACAAATCCAGGCCTTGTTAATAATAATAGTAATACCTACCTAGTGAATATAATGATTATAAAAATAGTAATAATATTATTGTGAAAAGTCGATGACACTCTAATTTAATTTATTTCTTTGTAGGGTTACCCCTAGTTGAGATCTATCAATTTGCAGTTGTCAATTCTACTTACGTGCGACATATCACCTCTTGCACCAGTGCATACGCACACACATACTTGTTGCTTGTTGGTAGCATCATCATCATCATCATCATATAGTTAGTCTGAAAACCACTTCGGCAGCGGCGACTGCCGGTGACTGCTACGACGTTTACGGCGGCGGCGGCGGTTGACGAACGGACCAATGGGAAAGTGGCTGGCGGTCGATAAGAGGCGGGAACGGTGGCGGTACGCCATTGGCGGGGCGCCGAGGACGACCGCCGGCGCCGCTGTTGGAACCGCCACCGCGTGCCGAAGCGTGTGCTGCACACGCATTTCGGATACCGTGACGCGCGGCTCTCTGCAGCTGCTGATCGGCCGTGCGTGCATTTACTGTCTCCTCAGCGGTAACCCATCCGCCCGTTTTGCCGGCACTTTCCACGCACTGCACCGTAGCCACAAAATTCTACTGCCACCCGTCGGAAGTCACAGATTTTCACGGTCAGTGCAGGTCATGAGCAACGGCAAGACCACCACGCCGCCGGCTAACGCGGCCGCCGCAGCTGCAGCGGCTGCAGCAGCCGCGGCCGCGATGCTGTTACACCAACACCAGTCACCGGCGTTGAACCACCATCACGCTGCAGCGGCTGCCGCCGCAGCCGCGGCCTATCATCAGCACCAACAGCAGCAACACCAACACTTGCAGCAACACCTGCAGCATCGAGCTCAACACGAACAACAAATGCACAATCACCACCAACAGCAGCAGCTACAGCAACAGCAACACCAACAACAACAGCAACAGCATCAGCAACAGCACGGCGGTACCGCTACACCTGCAGTGGCGACGGCCGTCCAAGAAGCTGTAGTAGTTGTACAACAGCAGCAGCACATCAAGCGGCCCATGAACGCGTTCATGGTGTGGTCCAGGGGACAGCGGCGCAAGATGGCCCAAGAAAATCCGAAGATGCACAACTCTGAGATCAGCAAGCGGCTGGGGGCCGAGTGGAAGCTCCTTACCGAACCTCAGAAACGGCCGTTCATCGACGAAGCCAAACGGTTGAGGTGAATATTATATTTTATATATTTTTATTATTTTTTTTTCATATATTATATTATATATAAATATTATATAGTTAATGTGTTGTTTGCGTTGTCTTCATCATAATCGTCGTCGTGTACTATATATTATTATAATTATTACTATATCGTCGGTTGTGCCTTTTTTAATCGTTATTAATAATTTACAAGAAGGCGATGATGATAATGATGACGATTACCATCATTACAGCGTAAATTAAATTAATGTTTATTATTAGGAAGGAGTGTTTTTTCGTCAGTTTAAACAATTACTTTTCCCGCGCGTATTAGAATACCTTACAAGGATTTTTTAACATAATGACAGTAGTTACCTATAATAAATATAATCGTTATTTTGTTTGTAATGAATTAGTACATAATAAAGCGATTGACGTATTTATTTGTAGTTCGTTTGTTTGTGCTATATTCAACGGCGTTTTTTAAAAAGTCAAAATTAATTATAAAATACATATAATATATTATAATATTATAATCGCTACCTCGAATAAGGAGTGTACTATAGGAAACATGTTTTAGTATACGATGATTACATTATATCTAAAACTGAAAATTCGTAAATTGTATATCAAATATATTATGTATTTATTGAATTTTAACTACCTATGTGGTTGTGGATTGATAAGTTTTTTTTAAGAGGATGTCAACGCACTGTTCTTTTTATATTTCTTTGAACTACGCGTATTATAATATACAAAACTCATTTATGCAGAAGCTTCTTTTTTTTTTTTGGTGAATCTTTGTGTGAAATCACTCATTAGAAAAAAACGGTAGAAAATAATATTCTTCGGTGTTGGCATATAAATTTTCTAAATATTGTCTTAAAACAATTTATATATTATTAAATTAATTTTTTTTCTGCAAGTTAAATAATAATAAAAAAACCAATATGTCATACTCTCAAAAGTATTATCCTTTTTAATTTTTTTAATAGGTGATTTTACTTAAAAATCATAAAAACGTTTAGGCTAGGTAAAAAGGTTTTATGTATGTTGCGTGTGGGTCTGAGAGAAACAAATGTTGCGTGCGCTTAAATCCTCCAAGAATTAATAGCCAAACAAAATCAATCATGGATAATAATGATTGTATTATTCTTACGTTTTTTAGTTGGATTAATTTTTCACTTAATGTTTTCATTGAAAAATTTTATTTACTTTTTAAAATAAATATTTCTTAATCTTTATTCTTCATATATTGGAAAATTCTCCAATGAATGTTTGTATTTTGAAAATGTGTTGAGTTTAATTATATGTTATAAGTAGAGTTAGGATGTTGATGATCTAAAAAATACAAAATAATGCCCTAAAAACTCTTGTTTATCGTATTTTTTCCATACAATTTATAAATATAATACTCGGTAAACGTAACGTTTGATAAGCTTGTATGATCGGCGTAGTTTGAAAGAGCACTTGTTTTATCAGTATTATATTGACAATATATAACACCCAAAGTCTCAAACATTAAACCCAAATCCAAAGTTAGATTTTAAAATTTTAAATAAATTAAAATTGTTTCCAAACTTGGGTTTAACACTTGCTCTAATTTAAAATTTGAGAAAAATGCCCCACACTGGATAAAAACTACAAGAATGACCTAAAAGATGAAAAAATGAGGTGAAAAAATAAAAAAATGCATTAATCATTAATAGCTAAAAATGAAAAATAAAATTAGAATATTCTGCATCAAGGAAGCATGAAACAAATCTTTAGCTAGGATAGAATTGTATAGAATCAAAGGAAATAAAATTCAAAAGTCGTCAACATCTTAACTCTAGTTATAAGTTATAATCATAGTCCTTAATGCAACATTGTATCAAAGTATACGATTTTTGTTTGTTTGGAATGTTATATTATTATACATGCACCCTAGCTGTGCACATGTGAACAGGACTTTCGATTATTATTCGTTTTGCAAAAAATAAAGAGAGCTTTAAGCTTTTATAATTTTAAAGCTTATATAATCCTTGTAAATTATATATTTTATTTCTTTGATATTATTATTCCTGTAGCTATATCTACATGGGGAAAATATCGATCATGACATCGACTGCTAGATTTTGTTGCGATGTTATAACACTTTAAATTGGGACGAAAACAATCAAAGATCTGGTTCTTAAAAAATTATTAAATTACATTTTGATATTATTATAATATAATAACTGCACTAAACTTGTCGTGGGTACCTATTTATATATTATTTAAGACGTGGAGTCGTGCAGAGTATAATGTTATTATATAGGTACATCGTATTGGAGGTACGACAAATAGTTGCCTACTACCTTATAGCCGGAGCTGGGGCCTAGCAATAAAGTGTCTAATACTGAGTACACATTATATTATACATTTATACTTGGGTAGCGTAAACACGATGGTAGTACGAAAGCGCGTAAAAAGTGAATCCTTGTCCCATTGTCGTGTCACGATGTTGATAAAACTAATGTTATAGTAATATTTTGATTGATTCGTCATCGGACCATAATATTGTGCGTTACAAAGGCATGCTCAAGATTTTTCTACGGTGGGGGGGGGTTGACTTCATATTTTTGAATAATATAAAATATAGATATAGCAATATATCGAACCCAATGAACCCCTTGAGCACGTCTCTGGTGGCTTGTGCATAATCTAATAGTAGGTACTAGTGTGCAGTATTATATTTTCTGTGTATGTATCGTGAGTACGCACGAGCGCTTGTGTGTGTGCGTGTGTAATGTATATGTGTAGAAATTACATGACGCGATGAGCTAATTCTATTCTCTTCGAATCACGAGATCATAATATTACAGACTGTAATAATTACATAATGTAAATAATAATATTCTTGTGTATCATAATTATTTAATCTAACTAGTTAGTGTACGCAAATCAAGAGGACATAAAATTGTAAATAGTTTGTATATCTTAAAGTACTCATGAATCGCTTTTAAATTAAAATATATTAAAAAGCCTTTGAGAGCCTCTCGATAAAAATGTTACCTTTAATTTTTATACGATGTCAATTCACTCTAAATTTTTAACTAACGGAACTAAAAGTGATCTGCTGAGTGTAAAAATTGCTATGTTAGACTTGTAAGACGGAGACAACACATGTGGGTGTAGCGTCCTCTTAAAACTATTCCTCAATTTTGAGTGAATGAGTGGATAGGTTTTGTGAGTTAGAGGGTTTGACGAGAATTGAGAGTGAGAACACACGTACTGCGTAGTATAATATAAATACTATGTCTTTTGTACATAGTATAATATTATTATTATTAAATACGATTTTGTGTTAATTATTATTAGAGCAGTTTTTCGACAAATTCGATTATGTCACGTGCCATATCATCTTACATGCCCGTTTCCGATTTCGAACAAGAAATAATTCCAAAAGCCCACGGTGACTTATTTTTTTCATACTTATATTCGCTGCTAAACTTATTAAATCTCCGTGTATTTCTCTCGCGATAACGTCGCGCACTCGCGCAGCCGGGCGCAGGTATAGATAAATACGATATACATTTTATATAGGTTATATATACAATTATTATACATATAATATAGGTTTATTTTTGCATCTAGGAAAAAAAGTCACTGGAAATAAAACAAATATATCTATTTGAATTAGGTAATTATATTAAGTTTTTGAAAGTTACATAAATAATTTTAATTGTTAATTGTGTTTAAATTTGATGTAAGATTAAATGAAATATTTATATTGTAATCAAATATCAAGGTTTTTTAAACTAAAAAAATAGATTAAATTAATAATATACTACAAGTTGTAGAACAATAGTTCATAGASAAATAACTTAATAGCTCCTATACTACACGAATACGCGATATCACTGAAGTTGAGCGGAAACATGTATATAAAGGTTATCCCAATGTTAGTTCTATGTATTACAACCAATATAATAATTATAACGGATTTAAACAATCTTAAATTTAAGGATTGGTTTTCAATTTTGTTATTGAATCAATTATTATTATCATATATTAATACATATTATCAGTTATAATATCTATTAATTATTGCCCTATAATACTCCTTAGTTTATAGACGTCAACGCTCTGATTAAAACAATACGTATTGCAGGATATTCTGGGTATTTGTTTCTTATACATGTCTATGGTAGTGGATGACTAGAAAAACTGTTTTGTTGATTTTAAATGGTTATACATTTTAAGTTTTTAAGTTTAGAATGATAATTGATGCATATTAAATAAAATAATGATGTTTAAATAGTACTTATAAATGTTCTATATGAATTTCCATTGATTATAGAATATCATTTTATCGATAGTCAAATTCATCCCATATTTGTTCAAGCTATTCGTCGAAAATTGAATCAGCCGATTTATTGGCTCCTTATAATACCTTATGATACCTTGAAGAAAAAAGTGGTACACTGATACCACACCACAGTACTATACGCACGGGATTGGTAAATTGAGTCCCAAATGACCCTAACTCGGTAATAAATTGAGTCCCGTGAAGAAATAGGTAGTAGGTAAGTTGAGTCCTGGAAAAAATAAGGTAGTTGGTAATTTGAGTCCCAGGGTAAAACGATTTATTTGCATTTAAAATTTAAAAATATGCGCTATAAAATTTAAATTTGTGATTTGTGGACATTCATTGACTGCATGTATATGATTTTGAAAATAGCAACATGCATTAATTTTATTAATTATATAATTATTTTTTTCCCCAACGATAAAATAACGATACACTCTTAACATACCAAAGCATTCATAGTCAATAAAAGTCGATAACTTTGTAACATCGTACCTTCGATAAGGAACAAAACCTAGGGGAGCAAATTACCAAATACACCAGTAATGTTATTACCCGATTTGAGTTTATTAAATCAATATCAATGAATTTTTACCTAGTACATAATATAGGTGTATATAATATAATATAATAATAATAATTTTTTTTTGATTAATTCGTAAATAAATGGAGTGTATAATAATATAATGTAATGT